AAGCAGGATTAGCCCTTGATACTCTCACAGCGGTCCCATATGCAGTGTACTCGACATGCATGCTTTGGAGGCCAGAGGTTACCAGTCGCACACTCACGACTGCGTTCGCGCCAACAGCAGCGGCTGCCTCTGCAAGGCGTTGCAATGCAGAAGTGCGTGTTTCTTTCAACAAGTCGTGCAGCAGCTGCTGCTCGCCACCGAGCTGCTGCTGCAGCTGCTGCTTCCAAATCTCCAATACGCTCCGTCCACGCACAGCTGACCCTTCAACGAAGCCTGCATGTCAAAGTGCACGCATTTTACGGTGAAGTTTACCAGCGTAAGCCGGGCTTGAGAAGCGGCGATGCTCCGGCCTCACCAGATTTGTCTTCTAACTGCATTGCACTANGCGTAAGCCGGGCTTGAGAAGCGGCGATGCTCCGGCCTCACCAGATTTGTCTTCTAACTGCATTGCACTATCTGGACGCCTACAAAAACATACTACATCCTCCAGTGAGTTGTCATGTCCAGAGTTTACGCGACGCATGCAAAGGGAACCTAATCATAGTATGCATATTCACATACCTTTGTATTGAACATTGGAATGGCCAGGAATTGTCGGGGAGGTCGAGAGATGGATTTCATTACCTTCAACAATAAAGCGCTGGGGCTGGGGTGGCTTGTTGGTTTCTTCCTCTGAGCTCCTCCCCGCCACTGCTTGAGCAGCCTCTAACCACTTATTGCGAGACTCTTGACGCGCTTGGCTGGCAACGGAAAAAATATTCACGCGTTTGTCAAGGAGACAAGGAATTGATGGCTGCTTGCGTTCTGCCACCGGAGCGGTCCTTGCTAGTAGCTGACACTGCAACAGAGGAGCTGCACCATTGGAAAAGGAGGGTGAACTCATCCTCTCAGCTTGGACAGAGACATGATTCAAGCCCTTTGAGCCTGGCGGCTCCAACTGACGGACAAAGCAAGGCGCCCTCGTCGCAAACGAGTTTTGCAGTCTCTGCATTCCTACCACCTTTGTTATGGATGAATTATGTAGTCGCGTCATCTGCACTCAAGAGCCGTCGGCTGCGGCGATCGAGAAGGTGAAAACGCAAGAGGGCTTCAATGCGAANTCATCTGCACTCAAGAGCCGTCGGCTGCGGCGATCGAGAAGGTGAAAACGCAAGAGGGCTTCAATGCGAAAGTGATGTGAACGGAGAAAGCGGCCAGCGAGCTAGTGAAAGTGTCGTAGATCAAAGGCGTATATGATCTCGTGATTTAGGCGAACTTAGCCCTAATATTTCATACGCAAGGCAGTTGGCTGTGGCCCCAGCATGCGCGCAGGAGCACTCGGGCGGGATCCACGTAATTTCATTCAGGCGGGGATCATAATGCTCCTTAGGGAAGCCACTTCAGGACGACCTGGAGACTCTCAAAACAAAAAAGAAGTGCGACATTTGAGCCCTGCATAGTAGCGGATCCTTATTGGTGTCTGGAAGGCTGGCTAAGCTCATCCCAGCCACAATCGCTGGGTTGGCAAGCCCCACGCTGCAACGAGGCATTAATTACTGGAAATCTCTGTTTAATGTTTATTCAAGCATATTAATTTGGTTCGCCTGAAATCGCTGAGTTTTGAGGCGAAGGCAGCTTCCACGTTACTGCGCAGCTGCTGGTCACACGCTACGCAGGTACACCGGTTT